GTTAAGGTCATTAAATAATCTAAATGATTCCGCCTCACCGTTTGGCATGCGCTTCACCCCTATAAAGTGTTAAGTGCTACTGCAAGACTAGGTGGGGTCTAACTCTAGCCTCATGCTTGCAGATGAACCGATTGAGGTAGTGGACAAATTTGTTTACCTGGGCAGCTGTATCAGTCCCGTTGGTCTCACGAAAGATGAAATTTCCACCCGGATTGGAAAGACCAGAGCAGCTTTTGTGAACCTGCGTTACCCATGGCATGGTCGTGACATCGGCTTATCCGTCAAGGGTCGAGTTTACAATGCTGTGGTGCGTTCCATACTACCAGCAAACTCAGCTGCGCTGGCCATTGCCGTCTTTCTGGATGGGGATCCCGAGACGGGCCAAATCAATGGTTGGAGACATTGTCAGACATGGCTCAGTCGCGAGATGGCCCAAGTGGTTAGAGCGCGAATTTAATGACCAGAAGGTCTGTGGTTCGAACCCGAACTCAGCCTCTCGACTTCCCCTACCTAGGCTTGGACAACCTGGCAGTATCTCAGCCCTCGTGCAACTTTCAGGTAGCATGGAATTTAGGCACCGGAAGGGTGCTACAGCTGAACGAGTCGCGTCCTCAATGGCGCTCGAGCACGCAAGCTATTGCTTTCAATGCATAATTCCCTTCACAAATCCCCCCACTTGACAGTCCACACTGGTGCCGTAATTACGCACCGATTTATCAGCTACCGCCTCCAATGCGCAGCTATCTACCTCACCTCCTCAAATCATCAGCGAACGAAACTGTGGCAGCTACAACCACTGCACGACAAGTACGCGGCTCTTACAGTTGACAATGATGGTGATTACCATCGAGCACAGTGAAATTCCTCTTGAAATACCACCTGAACACCCCTTATCCTAAACTTCAAGCAAGTAATGTATGCACCCCATGGGTAGCACATGGCTGAGAAAAAGTGCGTTTAGCTGGAACTCCTGTGAGGACGCTATTGCAGCGCCAGTCACTAGGAGAACGAAGTAGCTCACTGATATGAATGTATGACCACTAAACTATATCACAGATTCAGCTCCTGTACTAGGTCAAATCTGGAAGGGCAAATAATCGGACTTTACGACAAGGTCAGCGAAACCGAAGGCGCCATCACCCAGGATCCTACGGAAGCGTGCTGTGGTCCGGTAACAGACTCATGAAGCATGAATGACCCCATACAAAACCATGCAGCCTGGGAGCGATCACGCCCACACGTTTCTAGTGAACATATGGCGAATTCCTCCAATGTCTTAGATAGGACTCAAATCATGTATACAGATCGGATCTTGTCCCCTTTTTACGAGGTTTCACAATCTGGGTCTTCCTTTCCTCTGTTTTTTGCGTAAGAATCAATGTCGTAACTGGTGGTGCTGTAATACTGGTTGCTTTCCTCAGCACTGAGATGGAGACTGTCCGATCACAGACTTTACGAACGAGGAACCTTAAGTCCAAGAAAGTTAGGTCGTAGTCACGAAGAGACTGGACCTTACCGTGGTGTGACGGTTTGCGCACCTCAGCGATCCATTGAGCTGTACTGGAGAGTGTCCCGCGACACTCACAGAGTCTCTCATACCAGGTTGGTCAATGGTTAGAGGTCTGACGAACACAGTCTCCTG